TCCATCCATCCATTATCCATACACCGCTTAATCCTCACTAGGGTCGCGGGGGGGGGGGGGGNCCCCCCTCCTCTCAGCTAAGTGCTCCTTTTGATTTTATTTATTTTTTTATTTTACTCTCCTGCATGCACTCCTGGCTGCTTAGAACTTGTTGATCCAAGCCTCTGAGTATTGACGGCGACTGTTTTACTCTCACTCAGAACGCGTGAGGGCCGGACCGGAAGCAGAGCGGATTGTAACGAGGCTGAGACTCCACGTATCTGGACACCTGACTCATCTTAAGATTTTATTCTTTTTTAAACTGTAATAAATTCTGTTGGACATTTTAATCTTTGGTTTTATTACACAGCTCACCCCTGGATCTGAATCTTGTTTTTAAATAGGTCCTAGTCCCTCACCAGGTGGTGTTGTCTTTTATTATCATTTTTAAAGTTGTTAATTCTTTTTGAAAGAAGTTTATTTTTTTTTCTCGCCCCCACCACTTGGCCACACTTAATTACGATTTGAGGGAAACATATTTTCTGACAGACAACGCTTGTTTGTAACGTCTTCTCTAAACAGAAAATTGGTAATAAAAAAAGAAGACATCTGGCAGCAGAGTTGCCAAGAAAAAAAAAGTAAAAATAGTTAGTAAAAATCTGCAACACTTGCTGTTTGTTTTTACAACATATTCTCTTTTCTTTAACAAAACGGGCAAAATCTGTGAAACAGTTGATTTTACCATTTTCTACCCTTCTATAAAATATGATTTGTTCAAAAGACACTGTCTGTAAATAATATAATCTTTGTTTGTTTTACTTGCAGTAAAACCATGTAATTTGTTCAGTACCTACTTTTTACGCTGCCTATTGGACAGGTTGTCACTGTAAATGAGAACTGGTTCTCAATTAATCTATCTGGTTAAAAAAAAAAAAAGTTAAATAAATAAATCGAATTAATTAATTTTATAATCAAAGACTGTAAAACAACACATTACTGTCTGTAATACATTTTTTTGACAGTTTTGGCAGAGGTTTTCATGGTTAAGTAATAAATTAACAAAGTTTTTTTTTATAAGATATTAGCTGTAATTTAACAAAACAGCTAAACACATATGGTGAAAGAGTGATATTTAAACCTGAAAACTATAAAGCCAATTTGCCTATAAACAAACCAGCATCATCTTTAATCAGAAACAGAATCAGCTTTAATAGCCAAGTACATACACATCATACAAGGAATTTGGTTTGGGCTGTTGGTGTTGCCCGAGGAATGAGCAAGGAGAGTAATAGAAATAGGAAAATGAAGAATAAAAATAAAGTAAAATTAATAGGGCTGCAGGGTGACTCGGAGGTTAGCACTGTTGCCTCGCAGCAAGGAGGTCACTGGTTCACAGAGGTGGGAAGTAACGAAGTACAAATACTTTGTTACTGTACTTAAGTAGATTTTGAAGGTATCTGTACTTTACTTGAGTATTAATTTTTCTGATGACTTTTTACTTTTACTCCCCATATTTGAACACAAATATCTGTACTTTCTACTCCTTACAGTCTCAAAACTGGTTCGTTACTCGTTTCAATCTCCGCGGATGACAACATGACGTAAAAGACGCAACAGCAAATGTCTTTATCTTTTCCAGCAGTGTGCAATTTGTCACTGAAGCTCAACACAGCCCTGCCTGCCTCAGCTGCCTGCAAGAGGCTTTTTAGCACTGCAGGACTGATTTTCAGACCCAAAAGGACCCGTCTTCATTTAAAGAACTTTGAGAACCAGCTGCGGCTCAATAAAAGATTTTGTTAGTCTTGAACAGATCAGTGCTTCCATGTTGATTATAATGTTTAATGTTCATAATGTTGCTGAAATGGAAAACTGTCCAGTGATTTTTTTCTCTGTACCAACACTGTGCAGGTTCTTAAAGAATGAAAACAATCTTATTTTGTGTGCTTAAAACTTTTTTTGTTTGACAGCTATCAAAAGAGGCATTGTGTATCATTGAAACTAAAAATTCATTTTTACTTTTTAGTTTTGTACTTACGTAAATTTCTTAACCTGTACTTTTTTACTTGAGTAAAGAAGTTGAATGAGTACTTCTACTTTTACCAAAGTCCATTTTTACACAAGTATCTCAACTTCTACTTAAGTAAAGAATGTGAATACTTTTGCCATCTCTGCCAGTTTGCGTCCCTGTGAGGACACCGGGATCTTTCTGTATGGAGTTTGTATGTTCTCCCCATGCAGTGTGGGTTCTCTCCGGGTTCTCTGGCTTCCTCCCATAGTCCAAAAACATGTTGAGGTTAATTGGTGATTCTAAATTCCGTAGGTGTGAATGTGAGTGTGCTTGGTTGTCTGTCCCTAAGTGTAGCCCTGTGACAGACTGGTGACCTGTCCAGGGTGTCCCCTGCCTTTGCCCTAAGTCAGCTGGGATAGGCTCCAGCCCCCGTGACCCTAGTGAGGATTAAGCGGTGTATAGATGATGGATGGATGGATAAAATAAATAATAATAAATGAAATAAAATTACAAATATATACAAGAATATACACATCTGAGCAGAAAATATATATGTACAGTGGTGCAAAACAGCAGTGCAAATAACAATGTAAGTAGTCTGCAGTGTTATGGCTGAGAATGACTCAGCGGTTCAGTAGAGTTATGGCAGTGGGATAAAAACAGTTTTTATGTCTGGTGGTTTTAGTCTGCAGGACTGTATCGCCTGCTGGAGGGGAGGAGGGAGAACAGTTTATGAACAGGATGAGTGGGATCTGTGATGATGTTCCCTGCCCTATTCCTGGTTCTATCAGAGGACAGTTCCTGGACGGAGGGCCGAGGGGCTCTGATTTGAAATGTTCGAACTAAATGTTCATTTGTTTTCCAAAATAAGACCAGAGGTTGGCCTCATATATGTAGCTATAAAACAACTGTGGAGTTTGATTTCACATTGGTCTGGTGTGAACTGAAGGCAAAAAGCTGCTTAAACACCACCAGGATCTGTGCCTGGGTACCAGTGTATAATCTGTTTTCCATCAAAGCCCCCAAAATCAAGAATGTCACCAAAAAAAAAATAAAAAAAAATTCAATTTTCTACTGTGCATTTACATTAAATATAAAATGTAACAAGGCAGCACTCTTTGGGTTTTTTGTTCTGCTTGTGTTTGGTATTTGATGGAAAACAGAGCATACTTTTGGACCAGATCACAGTCGAGCAATGTCAGCTAACAGCTTTAAATTGATCCACGGTGTTCGTCCATCATCACTGTGGTTACCAGAGAAACTGGGTCAGCAGACAATAATGATACTGGAAGGTTTTCTGGTTGGTCTTGGTTGAGCAAAAAAGAAAGACAACAAACATCTTCAGGACAAATACGTCACTCTTATAAACAACTAAACCGTGCTGTCCTTTAACCAGCTGTTACTGTTTCTGTGCAGCAGCAGAGTTAAAGCTGCACCAGTCCAGAGTTCATATCTCCAGTCTGACCAGTGAGTGTGACAGCAGAGACACCCACCTTACATCCAGCAGCTCCCACATTTGCTTTTAGATTTACTGGGACCAGAGCCTTATGAGGAGAGAGACGCTGGATTAAGGCTCCCAGTGGATGCCACTCATTTTCTCTGGAGCGAAACAATGACCTGGAGGGAGGTTAGTTTCTTATTTCTTAATCTGACACCAAAGAGCTTCTCTTGTTCCATCAGTCCGCCTGCTGCTCAGTATCTGTCTTTTTGCTTCTTACACCATTTATCTATTTCTCTGCTTTATGCTCCACTACTTTGCTGCAGAACTGCAAATAAAATCAATTCATCTGACCTACACTAACTTCCTTTAATGAAGCAAAGTTTAGCCTTCATGCTATGAATATTTTCAGTTACAGGTCCTTGAAGTACATATTTCCATGAAGGAAAACTGAAATTGTTTATTCAAAAATTCTTCAAGAATAAAACTTTGTTTTTTGCTTCACATTCCTTAATATACAAAATCTCAAATCCAAATAGAACATTACAGAACCTCAGTTAGCAGCAGTCGGGTTCTGGACGTGTTCTGGACAGGTTCTAGACGTCTGTTTTGTGTCTTTCTGCGTCTTTGTGTTGCTGCTGTTAAATTAAAATCAGAACCGACTCATTAAATGTGTTTTTCTTTCTTTTCTTGTTTTTCTACTTTTGTCAGCACATTTGAAACTAAAGCTGCTGAAGTTGTTTCTGACAAAAAACCACCAGGTGTCGCTGTGGATCTTTCTTCATGCTCAGACACACAACAACGTCAACTTCAACTTCAACTTTAAATTTATTATTCATCCCCGAGGGGCGATATTTAATGCAGCAGCTTACACAAGCCTTCACAACAAACAAACAATGACAACAGGGGGCATCAACAGTAAAAAAAACACAGATTACAGGATTTTTTTTTTTTTTTTTTTTTTAAAGAAACACAATAAAAACAGAACCCTCATCAGAACATCAGAAGCGTCATCAGAACACCAGAACCCTCATCAGAACACCAGAACCCTCATCAGAGCATCAGAAGCATCATCAGAACACCAGAACCTTCATCAGAACATCAGAAACTTCACCAGACTAATAGAAGCTGCAGGTTTTCAGTTGGTGCTGAAATAAATCATCTTCTCTGTAGGAGAACCAGACCCAGAACCTCGGACCAGAACCACTGAAGCAAAAGAGAATGAGAGAGGTGATTAAAATGACACAAAAATTATAAAGCTTTTTTTTTTAAAGTTCAAAAAGACAAAAATAACGAAGATGAAAAAATTATCAGGAACAGAAAAATACACTGTTGCCCATGAAGTTGGAATATTTAATATTTTTTTACCTCTTCTCATGAACTGATTGTGACAATGCAATTTATTCTTCATAGATAAAGTTTATACCTTCTCAAAACTTTATTGATATCACAATATACACACAATGCACATCACAGTAAAAATTAAACCACAATTGATCCACACACGGTTGGTCGTGTGTCCTCCTGGCCTGCAGGGGGCGGCGGTGCTCCGAGCCCAGCAGCCGGTGGAGGACTGCCTGGAGGGGTTACACAGACAGAGCCACCCAGGAGCCGGGCTCGGCAGCATGGACGCTGAGGCGCCTGTTGCTCGGACCGCCGGCCCTCCTCACGGACACGTTTTCTGCAGCGAGAAGTGGAGAAGTTCGGACCTGATCCGAGGCTTGAGAGGTGAGGGGCTCGTCCACAGGGCAGGGCTCGGGATGCCGGGGGTCCGGACTCCTCACCGAGCAGCGGCTTCAAGAGTTTCCTGCTCCGACACTTCCTAAAACACCCTGTTCATCGAAAACAGTAGACCAGGGGTGTCAAACTCTGCCCCCTTTGTAATTATTTTTGGCCCGCGAGACAATACCAAATGACTACTCGAGCTGCCCCCGGTATTATACTGTACAGCGCATTCACCGCTAATACTACAAATCCCATAATGCCCTGTTGTTGTTTTGGCACGTCAATCACGACAGAACCCAGAAACTCCCTCTCCTCTGTGACAGCAGGCATAGCGACTTCACACTACAACTGTCACTGTGCCATTGATGTGTTTTTTTTATTTATAATTAGATTTTGCATGTCTCCACTATTAAGTCATATATAATGTATGGTAATAAGCGTTGCCTGTTCCATATTCAAAAAAATACAAAAATTTGTTTCGATCCATATTAAAAGGTTCATTTGTTCAATGTTGGCCCGCGACTTTGTTCAGGTTTTAAATTTTGGCCCACTGTGTTTTTGAGATTGACACCCCTGCAGTAGACTGTAGGAGAGGAGGGAGGCTGATCGTGTCCTCCTCCGTAGATAGATGGATGTTTATTTGTCCCCGTGGGGAAACTGGTTTGCAGCAGAAAACATTCAAATAACATTTCACACTCACCCACAAACACTTCAAAATAATATCTCTACATTTCACATGTTATGGCCAAACGAGCTGGATCTTATTTCCTGTCCATATTTTAAAATGTGATGGCTTGTTGTGGACTAAAAGACCATTTGGACCGGTTCTTTTTTTTAATCAGAGGGCAACAACGCCTCCCAGATGGCAACAGTTTATAGAAGGAGGCAGGTGGAAGCCTGTCGTCAGCCACAGTAGTACCCAACTTGTAGCTCTGAGCCTCTTTATTGAACGTCCCAGCGTTTGTTGAGTTTTGTGAACGTGCTTCACCTTCAGGCTGTTTCCACCTGTCAGCTCACACAGCTGTCTGACTTTACAGCCTCAGTCAGCCTCCAGCTGAGCAGCATCCCCTCACATCCACATGAAGCTGGATGTCCTGGTCTCACACACATGTATGTCTATATTTTCATCTCTGCTCAAAAAGAACGTTTTCAAAGTTTGTGACCTGCAGAATGAAGTCTACCGCAGCAGACTGAAAAGTTCTGTGTTCATATGTTCGTCTGCACTCAAGAGTTTAACAGAGTTCGTGTGAAGAAGAGGCTTTTCTAAACACGCTCAACTTTTGCTGTAGGTGGAGGCGTGAAGATCCTCTTTGAGAATGAACTCGGCGTGGTGGATTTTCTTCTGCCCAATAAAAGCAGCGTCCTGTATGTGTCTGAGTGCGACATCATAGCAGGAAACGGCTACAAGAGGAAGCTGGTTCGCTACAGAAATGTAAGTTTATGGGGTGACATCCCTGACGGAGCAGTGTAGTTCCAGCTGACATCATTGTTGCATTTCTTGCATTTTGAAGACGAGCAGCAGCTTCCAGGAGCTGGTGTTGGTGGAGAAGAGCCGGATCAGTGAGCAGTACTTCGCTGCTGTGCAGAGCTTTGTGGTGTTGGACCTGGGCCTGGCTCTGCTGCCTGTCAGCGGGCAGACTGGTGCCTCACAGCTCATCACTCATATTGTAAGTATTTCATATTATTCAAGATTCATCTGTTAAAACTGTCACAAGTGTTGATTCAACCCAGTCATCATTACTTGCTATTCATTTAATTGTTATTTTGAGGCTGTAGTTTGTTAAAGAAATGTCCTGTCAGCTGTGATTGTTTCTCTCTGCTGTTCCCTTTAGTCAGCGTTCAGCATTTATCCTCATTCATTTAGATTTTTTTTCCTTGCCAATTGACATAAATGTGATAACAACAAGGGGAAAATGAACTAAATAAATTTTAGCCATGGCTGGCTGTTTGCTTTCACTGAATTCAGCCCTCTGACCTGTTAGCATGATGAAACATCATCTCCAGCATCAGAGAACGGTGTTCAGCTGCCACCACATTACTACGACTCAGTGTTTGTTCCCTGTTGATTTCCTGAAGCAGATGTAAGCAAAGGAAAGAAAAACTTATAGTTTATCAATAAATATTACATCAATCTGGAATGACGGTAGAATCTCACGTATCAAATCAAATCAACTTTATTTATAAAGCGCTTTAGAAGAGTCACAGCTGAAGCAAAGTGCTGTGCATGGGGGCTCATGAGAAACAACAGAACAAACCAACAGTAAGGCCAGTGAATAAAGGTGGGTTTTGAGTTGGTTTTAAAAACCAACGGTGAGGAGGCCTGCCTGATCTACAAAGGTAGATCGTTCCAGATTTTAGGAGCAGCAACAGAGAATTCTCGATCCCCTCTGAATGTTCGCTTAGACGTCGGTACTTCAAGGAAGCAGCTGCTCAGCTGACCGGAGGTACTGTGCAGGGGTGAAGAAGCTCAGAGAGGCTGGGTGGGGCGAGGCCATTTAAAGGTTTAAAAACAAATAAAAGAATCTTAAAATGAACCCTGAAGTGCACAGGCAGCCAGTGGACGGAGGCCAGGATAGGTGTAATGTGCTCCCTCTTTCGTGCTCCAGTTAGCAGACGGGCGGCAGCGTTCTGAACTAACTGGAGACATGCAAGAGAGGACTGGCTAACTCCAAAATAACGTGCATTACAATAATCCATCCAAGAGGTAATGAAGGCATGGATTGCTGTTTCAAAGTGCTGGTGCGTGAGAAGAGGCTTAGCAAGCTGCCTGAGGTGAAAGAAACTTGACTTAACTACTGCATTAATTTGGCGGTCCATATTAAAATCGCTTTCCATCTCAAAACCCAAGTTAGTAACAGTAGACTTCGCATAAACTGCCAAAGGTCCCAAATCAACACGGGAGGATCCACAGGAGCCACTAGGGCCTAACATCATCATCTCTGTTTTCTTCTCATTGAAATTTAGGAAGTTTAGGGCCATCCAGGCTTTAAGATCTGGATGGTCTATATCTTCAAGACATGACAGCAGGGGTTTGAGAGAAAAGGCATCACTTTTCCTCAGGGGGAGCGTACCGTAATTTTCAGACTATTGACCGCACCTGAATATAAGCCGCACCCACTAACTTTAAAAAAAAATAAAATAAATTGTAACGAGATATTTACACAGAAAGATTTTTGTAACTTTTTATTAAATACGTACCGGTAACATACACAAATACGTACCATAAATGCTTTTTTCCGAACAGTGCCTGGAACACGTCTGGTTAAAAAAATAAATAAATACAGTAGGCTACCAGGAAAAGTCATTGATCGCTGTCTTCATCTTCCTTCTGCACACTAAAACCACTAAAGTCGTCTTCTTCAGTGTCGAAAATGAACAGCCTCACAATTCCTTCGTCACACACGTCCTTAGTCTCTCTTTTGTTGTCGCTCTCAATGTCACTTTCGTCTCGAGGCAATCCATGAATTAGCCACATCATTGTTTAAGCCAGTGTTCAAAGCGTGTGGAAAACCGGCTTATAGTCCAAAAATTACGGTATATCTGGCTGTCAATAGCACAGCAATGAAAAGCGACACCATGTTTTCTGAGGATAGACCCTAGGGGTATGCCACAACTTTCTCCAGAGGCCCCTCATGAAGTACAGTATGTGACTGTCTTTATGAGGATTGAAGAGTCCTCTCCTCATTATATCCAACCAGCATGGGTTGAAAACCAGATTGTTTTGGAATTCAACTGCATACACTTAGTTCAGCTTATGTTGTGATATTGATACTTTAGCCCAGTGGCTTCCAAATAAGGCAGCCGGACTGTTAAGTCATACAGAATGTGTTGGCAAAGCGGGACTGTGAGATGGTTTCCAGTAATACAGAGTGCAGATGTCTCAACCTGCAGGTGTGTGTATTGATTGTTCATTTACTTCTACTGAGTCCCATTCAGCTGTTTATCTGTGCAGCTATAAAAGAGTCAAACATTGATGCGTCGAGTAAAAGGGATGTTGGTTGTAACATAGACATGTGTCTGATGCTGACTGTGTGATGTGCTGTAATTGCCTCCAGGTTCTCAGTGAGAGTCAAGAGAACCCCTTCAGGAGGAGGAGTGCATGTTGTCTGTTCGAGCCGCTGGTCATGGCTGTGGTCCAGAAGGTCCCTGGGGTGGGCAAGGTCCGAGCCCGGGCCCTGCTGCACAGCTTCTCAAGCATCCAGCAGCTGTGCAATGCCACCGTTGCTGAACTGGCACCTATCGTGGGCAAGGCTTGTGCTCAGCGGATCCACAGCTTCTTCCACCAACACATGGTGACCGGAAGTTAAAGGAGCCTGAACTTTTCTAATGACTGCTGGACCAGCACCAAAAACTTGAAGAAACACTTTGGTCAACACAGACACACTTAATAGAATTTTTTTGAAGAAACTCCAACTTGACAATTTTATTTAAAATGTGCAAACATTAAGAAATGATATTGTTTACTTTGAACTATTTGGCCAGATGTGTTTACGATGTGTCAATGCCTGGAAAACATATTTTCTTTAAAGACCTTGTCCAATAAAAATCCTTTTTTTTTTACTATGTTGACATATATATATAGTTTTTTACATTCTAAAAGACACCTCATTAGAAAAAAATGCACTCAGTTTCATTGGTGCTTTTTCCAGTTTGAACTGCTATGTAGTAATGACAGGATCAAAAACAAACCAAAGGAATTAGTCCCGTCAACTTGCAGGGTAGGACTCTCTGTACCTTTAGTCCTGGAAACTGGTTTCCAGTTTGAACATGTTTGACTGAATTGCTTCAATATTATAACTTGCCATTGTGTAGTAGTAGCAGCACACTGTTTGAGCAGAGTCCTAGGTGATGGTGTGCTTGAGCTGCAGCGAGCTGTGAGAGGTGGCTGAAGAGTGAGGCGAGAACTCCATAGACCTGCACATTCTAGAGTGTATCTGTATCAGAGGAGGAATATCAGGTGTTAGGTGCTTGGTTGTCAACCAAATTGGACCAAATGTGAGGTTGAGCTGATGATGGTTGCACATGAAATGAAAAATGAAAAATACTTAATGTATCCCAGAAGGGAAATTCAACATGGAAAGTCTTTCTGCAATTGATCCTGAGTAACATAAATATCTGTATCAAATTTCACAGCAGTCTGTCTAAAAATTATTTAGTAGATATTACTGGCACATACTGTACCTAAACTGGAGAACATAAATGTCTAGGAAAATGGTCTATCCAAATCCATCAATTATTTCACAGAATAAATGAAAGTTCTGACCCACCAAGAGCACTACGTGAAGAGTCAGAGAACCAACAATGTCTTCATCCTCAGGGCACTTTGAATCTCTGTAGGAATTTTCATGGCAGTCCATCCAAAAACGGCAAATGTAAACCTCATGGTGAAATATTCAGGGATCACCAGCCATGCTTCATCCTTTGGAAAACATTACTGTCTTGTCTGTAATGAGGTTTGTGGTAACTTGTCCAAATATTGTAGCTGGAGCACCAGCAGTTGGACCACAGAGCCCCTACCAGCAGCTCTGCTGCATGTGCTGCTCAGGAAGCTACAAATGGAGAGTTTGGAAACTGACTTGTGTTTGATGATTGTTGCATTATGATTAACATTTGTTATTGTGGCATATTTTTCATTTTTGCACTCTGGAATAAATAAACTTCGGTGCCATCTGTGTTGAAGTTTTTGCTTTGGCTGGCAAACAGATATTTTGATGAGAGTGTTCATGCCACTGGTTGACTCTGTGTTTGATGGTTTCTGTCCAGACTCAGCTCACATGTTGTTGTTTGGACCATTTCATCAAGTATATTATTAATAATGACTTCAACTGATGATGTAAAGGAAACTCCCTAGAATCAGTTCACTACTCAGAGAAAAGTTTGCCTTTCTTTGATTAGTCCCAGACATGAATCGTAGACACGGACCTCTTTCCCTGAGGACACCTGGACTTTAACTGAGCCCTTCATCAGAACCACTGCTGTACACCCGTCAGATGGTTCACATGACAGAAGTCACTATTACTGCTTCATAAGAATGAACTTTGGCAATGGACTGTGTGTCCCTTTGTCATGCCTTGTGTTCCTTTTGAGTCTTTTCTTTCTGCCTTCTTTTCCGCTGCCGTCTTTCTGCTGACAGCTGCTCAAACACATTCACATCGCGGCTGGCTGTGTTTTAGCCATCACTGGAGCGAACCTGGCACCGGGACCTCTGAGCTGCCCTCGTCCTGGTCCGGACGGTTGGTCCCGGCGGCCCTGAACGCCTCATGGCTGTTTAACATTCTACCCTGGACAGCGGCAGGTTGTTGCGCAAGCGCAGCCCATTCAGTCTGTGTGAATGCGGAGTGAGGAGAGGACAGGAGCACTGGGAGTACTGGGACTGGGAGCAACGCAGTGGACTGGACGGACCGGACCGGACCCGGGCAGGCGGACATGGATGGACAGAATGGCAGCAGCAGCATCTGCTCCCGGCCGCGCGGCACCGCGACGGACGGGAAAAAGAAGAAGAAAATCCCGGACAGAGTGACTCTGAAGAAGGAGATCGGGCTGCTGAGCGCCTGCACCATCATCATAGGTGAGGCAGGAAAACAAGAGAGCTGCGCTGGGATCAGTTCTGCCTTTCACTTTATTACCGAGGAAGTTTCAGTGACAGGTTCAGGGGCGCTCCCTCCTCAGGTCCGGAGGGGCTCAGGGGCTCCACATCAAACTGAGTTGTAGTGCTTACGTGGCTAAAATCTATGTAGTCCTGATGCAGGCTAGTGGTGAAGCAGAAGAACATTGTCTGCTGGAGCAGAAGGGCAGCAGGGAGCTTTAAACACACCTAAGCCAGTGGCAGAGCTGCTCTGAGGGGGAGGCCTGCAGGGGAAGTCTGGCTGCTCTCTGGTCTGTCCTTCAGCAGCTGTCAGCCTCAAACAGTGACTGCCTGCAGGTTTTGCTCCTCAGTAGCCAGCAAGGAATCCCTGCTCGGGCCATCCAGTCAACAGCTGCAGGGCTGGGTGTGCAAAACTGTGTTCAAAAGTTTATCTGAAGACAAATTAGTGTAGTAAATCAATATTCATCAGAGTGAAAGCCTTTTTAGTCATGATGCACAAGACTGGATTTTTGCCAATGTCTGATAGTAGATATTTTCCAGCTCATTTCGACTGACTGCTGATGCTGATGTATGCATATATTTCATCAACATGCTGTTATGTCTAATCTTGTTGTGATGGACTGCTAGGCAAAATTAGAAACCTGCTTTAACTTACATGTTAAACATGCCACATTAGTTTTCAAGTAACATTTTCAAACAGAACACCAAAGTTTTTGCCTGCAGGAATGTTCCGCCTGTCAGGATTCATTTTGGTCCAAATACTGATATTAACTTGTAAAGCCTTGGTGATGATGCTGGTATGATTGTGCATCCCCAGATTTTTGCATCTCTCATTCCTAGATTGCAGCTAAAACACAAGGACATAGTTTAATAATAAAAAGACAGAATTAGACATCCACTTGATTTGATCAACTCAGAACGATGAAGCCTCCTGTAAGCTTTTAGTACACTTTTCATTCACCCCCCTGTCACGCCCATTAAAGCTTCTTTCACTCTAAATCTTTTCGTGTCCAGTACAAGGACATGAACATGAGGGAAGAAGCAAGCAAACCTGTTTCAGTGTTCATCTGAGCACTTGTGAACTTGTGAACAGGTCCTTCAAAAGTGGTTCACTGTGCAGGAACGCAGCAGAGAAGCATCAGAGTAAATACAAAAGACAGTCAGTGATACAGTCAGACTGCTGCTGAAGTGATCAGGTGACATGGCTGACTCCATGAAAAATGTGTTGCCTTAAAAACACAGACAATAGCCACATGTTGTTAGTACTGACTGCAGCATTCATCTGTGGGATCTCTGTTGAGGCTGAAGAGGAAAAACTGCATTAATGTGGAGTTATGTTTGTTCAGTAAAGCAGATGTTAGTATGAAACTTGGTCCAGGTATTACTGAATCCTGCTAGGTGAATCCTCATGACATTTGGCACCTTGACTTCTTAGCTTTATATCTATATTTGTACAATACAAAAAATACTGCAGTATGTGTGTTTATGCTAATGTACACTCACTTAGAGCAACAGTGGTCTGTGTGTGCATTCAAGCTGAAAAGCCTGATACCACACTAAACCACACTGGTCACTCTGTCTAATATTAATGAAGTGAAAAATGAAATAAAGAAAAAGAACAACTGTAGACTTGCCTGTGGGTTGCACCATGAGAGCACCATCTGTCTGTCTGTCACTTTGTCATGTTGTATGTTAAGTAGTATGGGCTCCTACTACTCAATGTCACTAAACACGTTCCTGAGGTTTCACATGATTTGAGAGAAGGTAGGTAGTGCTTTTGTGGTGAGTCCTTTAAGATACAACATTGGTTGTCATACTCCACGGCATAAAGTCATCTTTGTGCCTAATGCTCATTTACAGTCCTGGCAGACTACTGATTTCAGGCAGGTTGATATTGGACCTGTATTTTGTAGTCTAATCCTGACATTCACTGAACAGAGGGTAAACCCTGTATATACAAAGATGAACTGGATAGTAAGTTCCAAGATGGATCAAGTTATGCCTTCTAGAAATTCAATTTCAGATCCTACTTAAAACTGTGTGTATTCTGTCATGTTATTGTTTGTGATGCTTTGAAGCATTTGCTCATCATTTTACAGCTGTTGGTGTTGTTCTCACTGTGGATGGTGAAAGGTTTGTTGGGTCAGTGTGCCTCACATTTTACTTCGATACTGGCTGTGGCCACCACAGTTGCAAAAACCCTTGTGGTTTAGGTAACAACATGGTCTTTCATGGCTCGACTGTTGCAAAACTCTTACATGACTTTTTCCCTACCTGTGTCTGATCCAGTGATCAAAAGACTATTAAATCTAGGAGCTTTGTTCTCTGGTGTGCCATGAGGGTTACAGATGTGTACGGCTGCTAGTGGCACCGTTGGAGGCATCTGTGCTCATAGAGCAGGTTATTTTCTAAATACAGGGCTAGTGGTTCAAACCCCAGCTCTGCATGTCCAAGTGTTGTTAAGCAAGGCACTGAAGCACAGATTGCTACAGAGAAGTTCACTGACAACTGCAGTAAGTGGATAATTCTGTTTAAGAACTGCTTTACAGTGGCCTTTCTGATGTCTGACCTGCAAACATCTTGGTTTTTGGTGCTTGGCTAACTGGACCTCCACCACAGTTGGCTTTATTTGGAGAAAATCCTTCTCCAGAACAAGGAAAAGGTCCTGTGTGCAGAATGCTGAAGCACCTTTCCATTCACAGAGTCAGAGAGAACAAGCTGGCTGCTCAGCACAATGGACTGGGCTCAGCAGCAGAAGTCATTTGTCTAAACCTAAATCTTTTTTTGAACCTTAATACCTCCAACACCATTTTTTTTGTGTGTTAGAGGAAGCTGCAGAAATAACCTGATGCAAAAGGTGAGTCGGTCACTGCCCACCTCTGCAGACTGGAGTGGATAATTTATGTCTGGTTATGTAATGGCTGTGTGTGCCACTTGGCTGCCTTCTGCTGTGCTACTGGTAGCGTTGTACTCTGAATGTGTCGGATCTGCTGGTACTCTACACTGCATACTGAGGCTCTGGGCAGGAGGGATTGTCCCCATCCTGAGTAATGGCCTTTACATCCTTCTCTAACTCACTCTGGTATAGAGCTCTTTGTGTTTTAATGCCCTCTGTATAAACTCAGGGGGAACAGTTTTGATTGTGTGACTGAGGTTGCTCAAGAGTCTCACTGGTGTTTTTAGAGTGCAGCAGCAGAAATGTTGGAGATGTTCTGTGTGGTGTGTACCATGTGAAAAGTACTCCTAACAAGTCACATGTGGAAAGCACGTGCTCTGCTTGGACATATACAGTGCTGTGCTGGGAGGCTGGTGGAAGCAAACATCTATAACATCAGTCCCCACATACTGTAACTGTAACCATGGCTAAACGACAGGTGTACAAACCTTAATGAACTGATTGAATAAACTACACTCAGACCTTCAAACTAAGTTACAAGGCTTAGGCCATGTGGATTGGGTCATTTTAAATCTATTATGGAGGTGTACAGAGGCAAAATTACAAAGATTGTGTCAAATACTTGAATCTGACTGTGTGTCTTTCTACATATATAAATAATAAGACTGTCTTTGTGGACAACTGATTGGAACGTTTTTCATTCCACAGATAAGTATGTATTAAGTTATCTTAAGGGTAATCAACACTTTAAAGCCTGGATTTAACACTACTAAACATTACAACCCCTGGCAAAAATTATGGAATCAGCAATC